GAAGGGTACTTTTGGAGGACCCTACCTTAAAGATATTTTATTTTGGGAACAAACAGATAAGATTTTATCTGTTTTTACATTTGGGATCACTTAAAAAGATGTGTAACATTTTATTAAAATGTCACAAAATATCAATACACATATTGAGTCATGAGAAATTGCTAATGAATTTACGAGATGACGCGTTCTCATTTTTACTGTTACTTGAACAGTAAAATACACGTTGGGCCCACACGTGGGTGACGACCATCCGATATTTACGGACCACATATTATATTCATCTTGGTCTAGATAATATTTATATGAGGTTGTAAATAAATGTTGAGCCATAAAGTTGGCCTTTCGATCAAACGAGGTCCCATTACCAGTATAGGTAATTAATCAGATAACAGCCCGAAATAAATTCTGGGGACCACTAAATTGAAGTTGGGTAATATATATTCATTTTAGAGTCCAATATTAATTGGAAGAATGATATATATTTTACTTGACCCGATAAAATAAAATTTAATTAAAACAGTCCGGAAAATACAACTTTCGGGACCGAATGTACATTTCGAGACACATTGGGATGACCTCCCACATGGGTGGGGGCCACCCCACGTAATTATGCAACCAAACAGCCGAGATGTGGGATGGAGGGTGATGGAGGGATGCATTGTATGTGATTTGAATGGTTTGGCATCAAAAGGACATTGAGTGGACCTCACTCCCACATTCATTGTACAATTGAGACAAAAGAGCCTCCTCACCCCATCCTCATCCCATTAGTTCGGCCATACCACACAAAACAGCCAGAGGAGGTCTACAACTTCTTATCTCCATAACCTCTAACCAAGCTCAAGCAAGAAGGATGATCAAGGAAGAAGAAAGAGTGGAGAAAGTAAAGAAAACTTAGGGAGAAAACAAGGTAATGACTTCATTATTATTTTTTCCTCTTTCATTTTATCTCATATGATTTTATAAATCATATGATGAACCCATAAGCTTGTTCTACACTTATAGAGGTGTAGTATGAGGGTTTGGAGGGTTAAGTTTAACCATGAATGGAGTTATGACCGGAGTAAGACCGGTTCACCGGAAAACACCTTCTCGGAAGGTTTTGACGTTTATACCACTTTTGGTTGTCAAACCTTGTTAGGAATTTTACCAAGGTATTCTATACTTCTCAAGGAATCTAGAAGTGGCCGGAAAGTCGCCGGAGCCACCGGAGTTTTTGCCGGAAAATTCAAAGGTCGCCGGAGTTCAAACAAAGAGGATAAAAGCTCGTTAGCGTCATTTCAAGGTGAGTGGACGACTACGTGTCTTGTAACTCTTGGGTCAAACGTGGGATTACCTAAATAAAATCCTTATCATGATTTGAGAAATGATTAAATGGATTAAAATGCATGATTAGTCATGGTGAATATGAATTATGGAAATATTACATGTTTAATGAATAAGAGATTTATTTGTGGATTAATCATGAATATATCATTGTCAAATGTATAAAAATGCATACATGGACTATGTATGAGGTAACTAGAGTAATCTAGTATGTGAATATGTATAGAAATGTTTAAAAGTGTTTAAACATGTGATTAACTATAATGATTATAAGTTATGTGAAAATGGCACGATTAATGAGTAAAAGAATTATTAATATTTTTGATAAAGGATAATCATGGATGATTTAACTAAGGTAATTCGAGATGGTATTCTTGAAGGATTCAAGTACTTAATCATACATGTCATTAAATTAAATCTAGTTATGAAGAATAAACTAGAACGAAATACATAAACGATTAATAAGTATGAAGTACTTATTAATGGTTGTGAGAAGATGGCTTTATGCTTTATAACTTTTGAGTGAGGCATAGATTACCTAAAGTAATCAAGAATATATTTTATTGAATGATTAAAGATAATCAAGTATGTGTTATGCCATGATTATATTTAAAATATGGTTGAAAAGCATGTTAAGTAAGCTTGATGATTTAAAATGTGATAATTAATTATGTATGATGTTCCAAGGACCCAAAAAGGTATTTTTGGATTGAGGAAGTCAAGAAGTACATGTGTATAAAATTTCACGTAAATCGGACTTCGTTTGTGCGGTCAAACGGGCGTTGACCGCCAAGTCAAAGGCTATACCCGACCGGGTATAAGTAAATACCCGACCGGGTATTAGCTAAAATCAGTTCCAGAGGCTACTGCCTCACCATACCCGACCGGGTATGGGTAATACCCGACCGGGTATTGGGTATTACACCCAATATGCAGTTTTTGAGTAAGTTTATGTGGGCCGTTCGGGTGGGACCCGTCCACATTGGTTGCTAAGGCTTCAAATACGGTTTAAACGCTAAGACTTGGACTAGTCGTTAGTAAAGAAATTATAGACCACGACCGGGCGAGGTACGTGGTAGATTATACATGGCGGGTGAATACCCGGGACCGAGTAAGGTTGGGTAAAACTCTGTAGGACCAGGAGGAGTCCTTTATACTCAAATGTTAACAAGGGCCCGTGTAGTCCTTGAGGTGTGTTAACCTCCAGCAAATTACACATAGGTAACAAGGGCAAATGCAGTCCTTGAGGTGTGTTAACCTCCATCAAATTGCATATAGGTAACAAGGGCCCGTGTAGTCCTTGAGGTGTGTTAACCTCCAGCAAATTACACATAGGTAACAAGGGCAAATGCAGTCCTTGAGGTGTGTTAACCTCCATCAAATTGCATATAGGTAACAAGGGCCCGTGTAGTCCTTGAGGTGTGTTAACCTCCAGCAAATTACACATAGGTAACAAGGGCAAATGCAGTCCTTGAGGTGTGTTAACCTCCATCAAATTGCATATAGGTAACAAGGGCCCGTGTAGTCCTTGAGGTGTGTTAACCTCCAGCAAATTACATATAGGTAACAAGGGCAAATGCAGTCCTTGAGGTGTGTTAACCTCCATCAAATTGCATATAGTAACAAGGGCCCGTGTAGTCCTTGAGGTGTGTTAACCTCCAGCAAATTACACATAGGATGAGGGTGTATGCGTACTCCTCAAGGCGGGGTTAGCCCCGGGAATGTAAACTATGATTGTAAGGACGGATAGTCCTCGAGGTAGGTGAACCTCAAGGTAATGATTTTAAATGATTAAACGTGCTTGATCGGGAACGAGTTTCCGATAGGATATTTTCCTTGGTCTAGGAATTGATTTAAACCATGTCCGTGATATGGGAGTCCGAAGGGCCCCCACAGTAATTATATTTTGATATCGGGTGAGTCAGCCTGCGGGTGACTCCACTCGAGGGTAAGACATGGGAAGGGTGAATTTAATGAGGCTGTTATGCCTAAATGATTTGAAAGACAAATGGGCCCACGGGCCAGATATTTTACTCATATGTATATATGTATACATTTTGTTTTGATAAGGGGTAGCTAAGAGTTATGCCCATAATTATACTATCACCCTATTTTGAGGGTCTCACGTGAGAAACGTTAGTTACATTACATACAGTTTGCCCTCACCAGTACTTTTCTGTAGTACTGATCCCTCGGGGGAACCACCCTTTCAGGTTGAAGCTAGAGCTTACTTCCTGCACCCGTTGCTCGGGAGATCGATGGAGAGAAGACGTGGTTCGTGCTTCCTCTCGTTCCATTTTTAAATAATTAAATAATGCTCATGGAACTATTTTCACTTATAAATTAATGGAGCCTGCGAGCTCTTGTTTTACCCTTGTGTGGGTTCTTACTAAACACTTATATTCCGCTATGTGTTTGATTGTATGTTGATGTTGTTATATATGTTTACTAATCGGTTTTGGCATATGTATCTTTCGGACGTCTTGTATAATTCGGTAAGGATGAACTGCGGTTATTCTTATTGGGTTGTACGACGGTTGTCCACGTGGCACAGACGCGGTCTGGGGCGTGACACTTACCCTACCTTGACCCTACTCCGACCTCACCCCTACAAGTAGGGTAATTGTTAGGGGTATGGGTGGGTATGAAGGGTTGTATGGGAGTAGGGGTAGTGGGTAAGGTCGTTGTAAGGGTAGAGATAGGGGCCAAAGGTGTGGAATTGGGTGTAGGGTGTAGGGTAGGGGTGGGGGTACAGGGTATAGGGCAGGGTAGGGGTTAGGGGTATGGGTACACGTACGAGGTGATCCCACATATTATATTATATACGGAGTACTTGTGTTCATGAATGTTTGTATGTCTGTATATGTATAGGGTTATTTTGGACAATTTAATGTTAAACGGTGTTTTACACCCTTTGAAGTAAACATGATCTTACAACATTGCTTATTTTATGCGCCGCTTATTAACGAGGGTAATGATAAGCACCGTAAGGTATGTTTGGCACAACTAATTAAAAAGATACTTTTACAGACTTTTTGGTAACTCTTAGCTTTTAGTGACAGAAAAGATCTTTAAAGTAAAATGTGGTAGTTGTTTGGTAAAATAAATGACTATTTGGTTAGTTCTGTTTGGTATACAAGCTGTTGGGACTAATTAATGCTAAAAGTCACAAACATTTCTCAGATGCTTCTATTGTAGCATCTTTAAAAAAAATTATTTTTTGAAAAGCTCTTAAAAATTGTCATACCAAACATACAACTAGAAGCTGTTAGAAACTTTTTAAATAGTACAAGAGCTAGAAGAAAAAAAACTTATGTCTGCCAAAACTAACCTTATATTGACTGAATTGGCTGATTCTGCTGAAAATTATTAAGTTCTGACTGAAGTAGCTGTATTGACTGATTCTGCTGTTTTATGGGAAAATTATATTTAACATATTTGTTACTAATAAATCAAATAAAAAAATTATATGAAAAAAATATCTAAAATGATCCACTACAGTAACTTCAGTCAATACTGTTGGTCCCAAAATAAGGATGTATTGAACAGCAAAATACGATCTATGACAATATAGGTAAGGTCTAGATAATGATATGATCAATCTGAGAGCAATAGAGCCTTACGCTATACTATCGAAAAGTATGAAAATAGTACTGTATTGCTGATTATTCTTCGTCCTGTACCACAAGTACGCGTATTTATAGGCGCAGGTACAGGTACCGAGAATGGTAACCTAGAATTCTGGGCCTAGGCCTTTTTGGGCCTTAAACCCTTAGTCTAATTTATTACATCATAAATACATTAAAACGTTAATCTATTCTAGATAAATAAACAAGACATCAGACAAGCTTGATCACAATTAATATTTTTCCTCAACAATCTCCCCCTTTGTGATCAAGTGCCGTCTTGCTTCTTCTTCTCTTCACTTTTGAGCTTTATAATAATTCTTTCTGAGATTAAGTGCGTGCTCATAGTTTCTGAGTGAATTTCTTCTATCAAGTTGCTTTTCGATGGCCTGTAGGATATTGTCAATTCTGTGTGCCTCTTTTAATTCAACATCTGTGGCATCTGCATACTTCTGCTGTCTTTCTTTAAATGCTTCTCTGATCGGTTGCAGCTTCTCTTTCACAATTTTCAGGGTTCCGTCACAGTATTTGTTAATTTCATCAATGAATAGCATACGTTTCTCACCATTGTGGTTCAGATAGATAAGCGTGATTGGACTATCAAAGATGTAATACTCAGGAAAGTCTTCCAATTCTTGTCCATACAGCTTTGGCCTTGTGAGATTCGTCTTTGGCATGTTTGTTTCAAGAGCCATCTGAAGATCATGAGAGGCAAAGAATTTGATTTGTCTGATCATAAACCGCTTGAGTGCATCCAGCCCATCTTGTGTAGTTTTGTCACGAATGCCTGGAATTTCCTGGAATGCAAGATACATCTGATAGATGTCGTCCATCTTTAGCATGTAGAGATCATTTTCCTTGCACGTGAATACCGTTCCGTCGGAGCGCTGAAGATGGTAGACAGAGAGTTTGATATCTTGAAAGTTGGTTTCAGCCACATTGAGAACAGCCCAGACAGGGTCCTTGGCTGTTTGAAGTTCGTGTTGCCAGACTTCTCTCTGTTTTCCCATATAGTGATGACTAAGTAGAAACAACTGTCCGCCCTTGTTTTGTCCTCGTAGATGGTTAAGGCCACAGATCTTCAGTTCATCCAGTTCTCTGACCTTATCCTCTTTTCGCCAGATGTTTTCTCTGATTTCCTCTTGAAAGGGGGCGTTGATGTCGATCTTTTCCCAGGGCTTTTCGTTTCTGGGCATTTGAGCCACTGTTTGTCTAATGATTGACTCAAGCTCCTTGGGTGGTGTTTCATAGTTCTCTCCCTCCTTGAGTTCATCTTGATCAAGTAGAATTACATCAGTAGCACAGTTGACTAAGAGATCTCTGAGATATGCTCTTCGCTGTGATTCATCTACATCTGTCCAGAGTTCAGACCATTTGTTGTGCACCATCATTTCCTCAAGTTCATCGTGCATTTGCTCATTGTAGTAGTTGGAGGGAGCCTGCTGCTGCTGTGGTGACATGTCTGGCGTAGCATCGGGATCCTGGTGAGACTTGCAGGGATCCTCAATTATCTCAACACGATGCTCTTGCGCAGAGACCAGACCTCTATACTTCGTTACATGCGGCCCATCCTCCCTTGGCTGAGAAAGTGAAACACCGGGATCCTCAGGATTGCCCGTTGACATCAGTTTCGAACTAAGTTCTAACTGATGGCCTGAGTAGGAAGATGTACTCTTGGTAGCATCATCAGGACTTCCATTCCGTCCTTGGTTAACATCTATAGGAGATGCACCTCGGGATGTTATGTCTAGCTCGACCATGCTAGAAAGAGTGGCTAGGGATTTATGGCTAGCTGAAGTAGTGGGTTGCTCATTGGTAGAGGTGGAGGGTTGGTTTGGCTTTGAGGGTTGGCTAGTAGAAGCAACATGCTCAAGTATCCGTTGGCGCTTGTTCTCCCCCTCATGAGAATCCGAATCATCGGGATCCTCATGTGAACGTTTAGTGCCACGGAGACTGTCACGGCATCTGTTCTGTGTATCTAGAGCATGGAGAAGGGCTTTTTGAAGAGGGGTGAGGTTGCCTTCTTCCACGTCTAGTATACGGTCGTAGATTTCAGCTACAAGATCCTCGAAGGGTACAGTTGTTAGGTTGGGTTTGGTCGTTGTAGGGGAGAATACTAGTTCTGTATCCTGGGTTCCCCTTGATGTGGATGGTTGTTGGTTTTCTATGGTTAAAGGTTTGGAAATAGGTATGGAAATGGTTGGGGGCTGTGTTGTTTGGGGCTTGGATGGTATATTCTGAACAACCGGGGCACTTCCAGAGTCTTGTGCATTAGCGGTTATTGCTTCATGCACCCATGGTTTAATGGTAGACTCTAGAAAGCTATTCAGATATACGAGAATGTCTTCGGGGATAATGGTACCAGTTACAGGGGTTGTAACTGTTGTCACAGCATCAGTGAAGATAGCTGATGTGTGGCCTGCGTTCAATGATCGAGGCATTGTTGGCGTAGCAGGACTTCCGACCATCATAGTTTGCACTCCGGTCGTTGCATTCAGGGTGAGTGCACCTGTATGTGCAGTGAATAGTGTAGGTGTCCTAGAAAAATGTGAAAATGTAGGAATGGTGACACCTAGACTCGATGTGATAGAACGGATGGGGGTAGTGGTCCGGGGCTGTTGACCACTAAGTCTCTCAGCAGATTCGGAAGGAATCAGTGAGGTCGATGTAAGTTCCCCTTGAGTTATTGAAACTCCAGTCTGTTGGGAGACTGGAGAGTGGATGGGAGATGGCTGTGCATGCGCAGTTGAACCGGATGCTACGACTTCTACCCGGGAACTGACAAGGTCAGCTCCTGCTCCTAGGGGCGTGGTTCGGTCTATAGTGACGAAGGTGTCACAGTCATCGTACAGTGCCAGCTCCTCTTCCACTGCACTCTTCTTTCTGAGCCTCTTCATAGGCTTGGATGATGCAGACTTATCGTTGCGTTTCTTGGAGCGCTGCTCACTAATGATAATCCCTTTGAGTGGTCGGGGTGTGAATGCAGCCTCAAAATCTTCCGATGAGGAGTCGGAGTCTATTGGAATGGCCTGTTTGCCAGCTCTCTTTCTGTTGCTTATCAAGACTCCCTCCATATCATCATCATCATCTGCATCATCATTATCTTCATCATTCCTCTTCTTTCCCTTGGCCATGCTATCGGAGGCCTCACCACCAGCCTTATTAGAAGGGGCCTGGCTTGATGGTTCATCGGCAGTGTCCTCAGCATTAGGGTGGCCCTCAGCAGTCTGGGTCCTCTCGGAAGAGTTAGCAGACTGATCATCATTAGGCCGGGTTGCCACTGGTTTCTGTGGCGGGGCTCTCTTCTTCTTACTACCCTCACTTGGCTTGGTCCCCTGGGAAGGTCCAGCTGGGTTTTGCTGAACCATAGGGACCGTTCTCTTCAGCGACTCTTTGTAGTCAATGACTGCTTTATCCCTCGGGTTTGCTAGATCAAGCAGTGAGTCCGGGATAGGCAGTGCTTCAGCCTTATTGCTGTCCCTTTGGAAGTATTTGAGCTTGGGAGCGGTGAAGTGATCATCTCCCTTACGCTTTGGAATAGTAGGGGTGGCCTCCATCATGTTATGGATCATCAATGCCAACCACCTAGCGTAAGGGATTGTACTACCCTTGTTGTTCTCCTTTATCTTCACTTGATCCATCAGCTCTGTCCAGAAGAGCTGGGTCATGTCATATTTGATGTTGAAGGCGATCCCGTGGAAGATTTGAAGTATTTGCTTGTTGCACTTGTCATGTCCGGCGTGCTTAGGAGATAGACACTTATTGACCAGGCCGAACAGACTCTTCCACGGGTGAGGCAGGTTGGAGATTGTAAAGTTTGACAGCAGGGGCAGTGGGCTGTCGTATCCAAGATCTTTCATCCCCTTGATCAGCTCTTCGTTTGAGGGGAGTGGTGCGTAGTGTTTGAGCACTGGGAGCTTCAGTGTCTCCCTGATTGTTGATGGTGTTAGCACCACCCGCACGTCATTTAGTTTGGTCATTATCTTCGACCTGTCCTTCTCTGAGGCTGTGTGCATCAGGCCCCAGAACTGTTGTAGATACACCATTGGTACTGGTTTGGCTTCGTTGAAAGCAGTCCAAAGGTAGTGCTTCTGTAGGATGGAGAGAATGACTGGGTCCTGACATTTGAAGAGCTTCAGGTCCAATTGAAAGTTGTTGTCATATAGTGTGTCACGCCCCGGACCTACCCGGACACGTCAACAACCCGCCGTACAATACGAATAGTCAACCGCAGTCCAACACATTCATATTATACAAGGCGTCATGAATATCATTCACACATATAACATCCATAAACAAACATAATAAGTAATTCATAACGCAGCGGAAAACATTGTTTAAAACAAAAGGCCACACCGGGCTATTCATGAGCACGCAGGCTCTATAGTAAAATATCCATGAGCAAATTTATTAATGTTTCAAATAGAATGGAGGAAGCACGAACCAAGTCTTCTCTCCGAGGAATCACTCGATCGACGAGCACAGGATGCAAGCTCTAGCCTCAACCTGAAATGGTGGTGGGACGCCCCCGAAGGGGTCAGTACTCTATACGGCTATAAAGTACTGGTGTGGCAGGCATCTAATAGATATACAACAAGTATTTCAAACACAAGACCCTCAAGTAGGGTGATAGTACATTATGATTGTAACCCTAAGTTACCCCGTTTAAAAATATACTTACTTTATATAAAAGTCAAGTAGTCTGCCCGTGGGCCCGTTTTCATTTGGAAATCACCATTCCCAACCCCGTGGCTATAAGCCACGACAACTCCTAGAGTCCAACCCTAGTACATGACCTTGTATTCTAGAGCTCGGCTCTACTACATCACCATACAATTCATATACCCCGGGTCAATTTCCTTACCTTGCGTTCTAGAGCTCGGCTCTATTACATCACCACGCAAGTCCTAGAGCTCGGCTCTAGCTATACAATACATAGACTCCAAGTCTACACCTTACATGCATTCTAGAGCTCGGCTCTATTACATCACCATGCATTAAGGTCCAATTCTCAAGCAACCCTATGCCTAGAATTGACATATCATTAAACTACTTTGGGTCATCCTTAAAGACTTCCCATAACTTAACCTTAGTTCCAAACTAAGTTATTATATACACTTGAACTATATTCAAGTACCTTTCATACAATCCAATCCCTAGGATCAATTTAATCAACAAGTTCCAATAATCACTAACTAGTATTTCAATACTATTAAGATTATTGTTACCATACCATTATCCTCGTTATTTGTAATTCTCTACATATTTATAATTATGTAGCAGCAACTTAAGTATTCAATCTCAATACACAAATATTCATTTATGTATCCACATAATTCATACATGAGCAAAATGCCCATTTTCACAAAATAGTTCATTTATACTCATTTAATCTCATATTATTCATACCTTCTCAAATCATTTCAAATTTCATTCCTTGGCAACTATATCAATATTTCATCAATATATAATCATCATAATCCATGAAAAATCATGATTTAAGCATTTAGGTAATCTCATGCTTAACCTACAAGTTGTAAGCAATTAGATGTCAATCCTCACCTCAATTGAGCTTTAAACTTTCCCTTCTTGGTCCAATGGTCAAAGCTTTGGTCAAAGTGGATTTGGAACTGATTCCTTGCTCAAATATGAGTGTTAAACAGCCTCCTCAAAGTGCTAGTTCAACCCTTAATCGTTGATACGAAAACAGCCCCTAGAACGGGTGTTTTCCGGCTAACTCGATTCCTAGTTTTCCAATATTTGCATCTAGGTTAGTATCTAACCTTTACATCAATAAAATAACTTTATAAGGACATATTATACACTTGGATTAGTGTATAATAGTCTCACCAATCGTTCATATCATTTGGAGAATGAAAAGTAAAGCTTTGGGGTTTAAAACTCACTTTAGAGGATTAAATCCTCTCCTGCGAGGTTGCGTTTTTCTCGGACGATTTGGAAGCCTTCCACAACTCCGATTCCTGCAAACCAGACCTTCACGGATTCCTCGTCTTGAGAGCTTTCTGTGGGTATCTCACACGCCTTAATTGGATTTGTAAAACTCGAGATATCGACCAAACAGTCTCAGCACTCTCACAGCTCGAGTTCACAGACCTCTGCTCGTTCCAGATCGATTTTTGGATGATTGCTCTCTCCTCTCGAACTGTGGCCACTCAAATATGAAAATAGACTTCAAAAGCTATCCAAAGACACCTTATACACCCCATTTGGACGAGTACAACTCTCAAAATGAAGGGAGACAAAACAGCACACCTGTTTGTGCGAAAACAGTGGTGGTGGCCCCAAAATTTGATCCCAATTGTGTCATGGGCAATGCTTCTCCATGTGGTGCGGCCAAGGTGAGTCTCCTCACATATTTTCCTTGTCTTGCAGGTACTCAAGCCACATGGGATGCCCCCCAATTAATCCCAATCAATTTGGGGTCCAAAATATCTACCAATACTTCCAAAAAATGGGAAGATGGGTCCTATTGTTTTATCTTTGTCAAAGATGTCTTTTTGCACTCATCCTAATTTATTTAGAACAAGTCAACTTCCAAAATCACATTATTGATCTCCAATATGTGTAGGCTCCTCCCAATAATTTACATGATGAAAATTACAAAAGAATGCGGGTTTGAACAATACAATATTCAATCATGTACTTCGTAAAATATTAATCGTTTCTCCCATTGTTTTGAAATCGGAAATTCAATACATCACTTATAAATTTTTAAATCGAGTTTTCAAGGACGTTCGGGTGCGGTGTCACATAGTGGGACCCAGTTCTCTTTAGGATACAGTTCATTGCCTGATTGTGCAGTTCTGTCCGTTCCTGACATTGTTAACTGAAAGAATTGGGTCAGCACAAATGTTCATTTGAAAATTTTATTTGTTCAGTTTTTTTGCAATTTTTCAGATCAGGTGTGTACAGGTGAAACCTCGAAAAATATTCTAAGTGTAAACCACGAGAACCACCTTCGATAATTGAACTTCGAGAAGTGGGTTCTCGAGATTTAAATACCGAGAAGCTCTTCTCGATATTCCAACATCGAGAACTTAGTTCTCGATATGAGAATGTCGAAAAGTCCTTCTCGAGATTTAAACTTCGAGAACTTCCTTTCTCGATGTTTAAATATCGAGAACCTCTTCTCGGTATTTCAAACTTCGAGAAGTAGGTTCTCGGTATTTAAACATCGAAAAGACCTTTTCGAGGTTCAAATATCGAGAACTGACTTTCGAGGTTTGAAATATCGAGAAACAAATTCTCGAGTTCAAATATCGAGAAAAATGTATTCTCGAGTTCGCACTGAGAGATATGTCGAGAAACCACCTGCAATAATACATTCATAATGATAAAACCAAATTCAAAACTTTTCGATGTTAACTTTCCGGTTTCGAGAAAGGTAGTTCTCGAGGTCCAACTTCGAGAAAACTTTCTCGAATGGAATCCGAGAACTCATTTTGAGATGTGAAAGCCATTGACATTGAGTTTTTCATGATCGAACTCCTTTATTTCTACCTTTGAAAAGATTTCGAGAAGATTTCTGGTAATCAGGAGTTCGAGAAATAGAATGCGAGAAAATGTTCTGGACTTCGAGAATCTTGAAAGCGAGAGAATGAGATGATGCGAGAACCAGTTCTCGAAGTCCACATTTATATGCGAAGTCTTGGGTTTGGGCTTTGCAAAAAGTATTCTGGGCCCAAATGTTTGAGCTGGGCCCGATTCAGTTTTTAAAAAAATTTGGCTGGGCCCGGATCTTCTTCTTTTTTTTTTTTTTTTAAAATGTTTTGGACCCCAAAAAAAACTTTATTTATGTACAGTCCAAAAAAAAACTCCCCCTCAAATGTTGCATGAGGAAGAAAATAAAAGGACCTACACACTCTTTTTCTTTTCTGATTTTCTCACCCAAACACACACTCTTTTTCTTGATTTTTCTCACTCAAACACATTCTTTTTCTTACTTTTCTGATTTTTACACACACCACACACACTCTTTCTTCTTTTTCTCATTTTCTCACTCAAACACATTCTTTTTCTTACTTTTCTGATTTTTACACACACCACACACACTCTTTCTTCTTTTTCTCATTTTTCACACACACTCCTTTTTTTTTTCTATTTTCTCCCTCCTTTTATTTAGAATTTCTCCCCCTCAAAGCATGAACATACTTCTTCTTGTTTTATTTTCTCCCTTTTCTCCCCCTCAACACATGCAACGCACACCACACACGCACACATTTTATTCAGACCATGGAGATAA